TATGGGGATATTTGAAAAGCAAAGTCTACGTCAACAAACCAGCCACCCTCCAAGAACTCAAAAACAACATCATTGCCGAGATAAATGCCATAGAACCGACCATATTGCAAAATGTCATTGAAAATTTCGACCATCGCGTGGACGTCTGTAAATCCAGTCGTGGTGAACATTTGAGCGATACTACTTTTCATACATAAATGGTATAAATGCACCTTCAACATAAAGTACCCAACTTGATTTGAATATCAATCTTTCTTGTTTTAATATGCGTTTACTTTCCTGCGTCCATTTTGGACAACCCCATATTTGAAAAGAAAGTCTGAAAATAATTTTTCTTGATATCTTTAAAACCGTTCATGCCATGTTTGCTTAAACGCGATGAAGATGGGTTAAAAAACTTCAAAGTTCATGCGTGCATTTTATCATGGGAACTAGGAGGCGAGATCATGATCCTCAACACTGCTCCAGCGTACAACTGTTACGAATGAATGTTGTTGAATTGTATTGAGCAATAATCTTTGCTAATTTAGAAAAAAATTCATAGAAATGATGGGCAGTTTGCAGAAGCATGTATTCGATACATGTGTATGGTATGCCAAAAGCAACTTTCCAATAACTGTTTTCAATATCGCTCGGGGCACCCTTAATCTACCTTTAATATTTATTTAATGAAAAAGCTACTCCTGAATAAAGCCGATATTACAAGCCTCACTGGAAGTTCAAATATACTCCTATCAATTTTCATCATTCGATGTGGTTGTTTTTGTTTGTCCACTGCTTTTGTTATCATTGTACTGTGCATTACCATATTAAAACAGCTCATCAGCATGGTTTTCAAACAACTGCATGTTTGCGTTTACCAAAACTGACATTTTGTACGGTTCGTTGCATTAGAATCTAGATGCACAATGTGTACAGTGGACTGTGAGTTTGATAGCAAACCCAGCAACTAATTGCCTGAATACGTCCATTCAAGCTTTGGTTTTTTGCTTGGATGGGTGCACAATCCAATTGAGGAGACCGATTTTAATTTGGAAATTCCATTACATTATAAACTGGTTGACAAAGAAGGCGGATGGAAACTCAATGAACTGAACATTGCTGAATGATGTAAATCAGGTGTACGAACCGAAATGATCAAGGTCTATAAGGGGCGTTTTCGGTCCTGAAAATAACTCATAAATTGAGTTATTTGCATCTAGGAGATTTGATTTTGAATATATTAGAACAGTAGCCGTTCAAGTATTACGTGAGCACTATGGGGGGGCGGGGGTCTTTGCTTTGCTTATTTTGGATGACATGGGGGGTAAAGGAGTCTAGATGATGATTACGTCATCGATAATTATTTACTTTTTTACACGAATGGCAACCCTCACATTGCCTTTGCTTGAAAACGAAACGCATTTTCGGGGATTCCCGCAAATAATGCATACGCTTAGTGAACAGCGCGCGGTAATTCCCCTACTCGCTTTAGAACCGAGTAGGGGAATTACCACGCGGTGTTCACTTATCTAAATTTCCTCTAACAGTGTATTGTTCCGTTTGGATACTATAGCGAGTAGACGTATTGTAAGCATAGTAAAGCAAGTTAACATTTGTGTTACCATTGATTCCATTAGCCAAAGTTTAATGTGTAAATAAGATGTCGTTTCACATAGACAAATCCAAGTTATACCAAAAATTGTTTGAAAGTTTTAAAAAATCTCATATAAGTACGAAAGTACAAAATGTACAAAAGTTAGTTAACGAAGTGTGGCGAAATTAGAAATTACAAGCAAAATCCGACAAGGAACTAGATATTATTGTATCTAAGAGAATCGAAGAAGAATTGCAAGCGGCGACTAAGAATAAATCCAATCTACTAAATTTTTTTTCTAAGGTGAGTGACGAAATCATATTAGGTATCTATGAGTACTAGAAATATTAGAATTCGCCAAAAAGTTTCTCTTTACTGATTAGAAAATATTATGGCCTATCTCAAAGTATAGAGGTAATATTCATTATATTATAGATTTATTTCTTATGATTGATTCCGTCAATTGGTCACAAAGTACAGGATGTTAGTTTTATACATATACAGTATATAGAAAACTAACACCCTGTATTTTGTGACCGGAACGAATTGCTCGTTTAAATATATTAGATTTAAAGCCATAGAGTTTTGTATTCATCATATATATTGCCATACTTTGTATTTATGTAGCATAATAAGAGAATCTTTAGCAGAAGCCATAGAAAGTTTTTATTTTTAGGCAGCCTGTAAACCTGCATAAAAAACACAAATTATACAGTCAGCTTCAAATATTAAAAAAGAGGAAGAAGATAAAATAAAACCCGGTAATGAATCACAACAGCAATGCGAAATTAATGAAAATACAGATAAACAGAGAGCAAAACCTTATCAGGAAGCTATGAAAAATAAGATTGCTCTACTCGAAAAAAATTTTAATGCTTTGTATTCTGCCAGAGATACTATGACAAGCCGTGCTGAAGTTGATAAACAGATCATTAAGTTGCGCGAGGAAATAAAAATAACAAAACAGTCTTTAAACAGGAAGGTTCAAAACGCAGTTGCCCAGAAGAAACACGGAGATGGTATGAAGAGAAAGTTAGAAGATATTTTTCATGTAAATCCAGAAATAAAAAAAAAACTATCTCTGAGGGATTCAGTGGGACGTCCTAATCTTGAAAGCAATCAACATTCACTATTGAAAACAATCGCGGATATAGCTTTATTTGGGAGTGCAGCAGATGATATAAGACGAACGGAATCAATTCGCAGCGTAAAACCTCTTGATGAAGTCACACAAGAATTACGTAGAATACGATTTGACATTAGTCGCAGTGGGACATATCTCCGTTTGATTCCCAGAAAATCTAATTCTGCACAGGGACGAAGACTTGTATCGACAGTATCGACAGTCCCTGTTAAGCTCATTCGGGCTCAAACTGATCACCACAAGAGCCACTTAGATAGCAAGTTCGCTGAAACATCAATCCATTATTTAGAGAACATAGCATCCATACTTGGACCAGATCAAGTATTTTTCATATCTCAAGATGATAAAGCTCGAGTCCCTATTGGCGTAACTGCGGCAAATAAGCAAGCACCTCTTCTAATGCATATGGAATATAGAATCAAATTGCCTGATCACGCTTGGGTAATCGCTGAGCGTCATAAATTAATACCATCTGTTTATGCTGGTGTCAAAATCACTTCCAATATACTAGGACAACCGCAAGCCGTTGGATATTCTGGACCAACATACATCGCTATTCGACGTGGAAAGCATAGTTCATCTACTGTTAATACTCGTGCTCAGGATTTCGAGACGCTTCTCGAACTTGAAGAGTTTTGACCATTAGCTAAAACTGACCATGGACTAGTAAAACCAGTGGTAATCATGACGGTTGATGTAGGGCAAGATGAAAATCCACGTTATCAAGTCATAGGGTTTGCTATACAACACTTTAAGCGACATGATCTCGATGCATTGTTTTTAGCTACCAATGCTCCTGGAAGAAGTGCGTATAACAGAGTAGAGCGCAGAATGGCTCCTCTTAGTCGGGAACTGGTTGGTTTAATATTGCCTCATGACCATTTTGGGTCTCATTTGGATGAACGTGGCGTTACAATTGATGAACATTTAGAAAGATCTAATTTCGAATTTGCAGGAAATGTATTAGCTGAAGTATGGAGTTCAATGGAAATTGATGGCTATAATGTCAATGCAAAATATGTTGGGGCAGGTGAACAAGATCTTCCTGATCTTCCAGAACGTGTGCGTGAGAGCCAATACTTGCTTCAAATTGTAAAATGTAGAAATACAGAATGAAGAATGAAGAAAACGTGGAATTATTGAACCATCCTCCGTATAGTCCCGATCTAAGTCCTAACGATTTCTTTACTTTCCCGAAAATTAAAAACAGACCCCGTGGTCAAAGGTTCCTGTCACCAGAAGAAGCAGTTGACGCATTCAAAAATGCCGTTTTGGATCTGCCAGCAAACGAGTGGAATAAGTGCTTCGAAAATTGGTTCGAGCGCATGCAGATGTGTATTAATCTTCGTGGAGAATACTTCTAAAAACAATAAAGTCATTTAAAACTACCTACCGTGTTAAGCTTTTTAGCATCGGAACGTTAAATAAATTAGGCTCTATTCCCACATTGACGGATTTAGGAAATTCGCGATTTGTATAAATGTATAATGTGCTTAAATTCTGTTTCCATTTCCACATATCAGGTTTCTAAAAATGAAATTTTTGTGGAGTTTGGCATTTCTTTGAGGAGCATTCATTTACCTGAAAATTAAAACTATTTCGCAAAATTATATTATTTGTTTCAATGAAATATTTTTGGTGTACTTATTATTCGCTCAATGCTGCCTAAATGAGCAGCGTAATTTATGTTGGAAAATTATTCACACTAATGATATTCTATATTTTTTGAAAATTGAAAATTCTGTGGATTTTGTAAATGCGGGAATTCTATCTGACACATCTGGCAACCCTGACCAACCACATCCTTAGATCAAACTAGCGGCAGTTTAATAAGGTGTGGAATATAAGGTAAGAGTTGAAAATTTCGTCTACTAAGTACACCACTGAAATTTTCAATGAATACCTACTATTTTGTGGAATATGAAAATTTTGTCTGAATTGAATTTCTTTTCAGAAAACGGCGTCAACAAGATTGTCGTCGTCGATTTTTTCATAACTATCTGCAAGGGTATTTGGAATTTATGTGAGGTTTCATATGTATATAATTTTTGGTATATTGAACATATTTTAATACCTTCAATTTCCAAAATCCTTCAACCACGTAATGTTCAACGTTTGTAATTAGTACTATTGTTCTAAAACGTTCACGTCCTACAAATATCCAAGAGTTACGTCAAACCAAAAACTGAATTATCCTAATCGAAACAAAGGTCTAGAAGTGAAACTCAATGTAAACAAAATTCAAAATTGCCCTCTATAATTATAATCCATTAACGTCATTTATGAATTCCATTTATTCTGTAAAAATTTATCATACCTGAACGTGATTGTGGTGAGCGGCCTATAACTCTTATGACTATCAGCGTGTGCCATGGGAGTTCCCCAAAAGTCATTCACGAGTATGTCCGAGATCGGCCTGTCGCCTGCAACGTCTCTATTCCCCGCCACTGCTGGGATGTCGTCGTGCACAAAGTCCCCACTGAGTCCATTGGCGTAGCATGCCGCCGACACTGTGGAGATGAACGCGTACAGCGGCCATGTGGAAGGGGCCTTCGTGGCTTCTTTGGCTTCTTGGTGTGCGGCAGAGTGTGATGAGGATTTTCGTTTCATGTTTGGTCGTCTGCAAGAAAAGCAATCACAAGGAATTATAGTCAATTATCAGAATAATAATAATAATCTGGCTTTATTCCTGACATATATAGGTGATTTCCCGTAATTCCCTCAAAGTTTTTGAAAACACAAAAAAACGTAAAAAATCGTAACTTACAACTGAACATAACCTGTCTTCAGAAAGGACAACATATAAATAACCTGTCGGGCACAGTTAATAGATATACTTTATTGGCAGCATATTATTCAGTAATGATTTTCTCACACAGCAAATAGCTCTGACATTATAGACAGACCAATACACATAATCATCCAGATGCGATCTTGCTATTCAACCAAATTTCTTCTCAGAGATGAAAACTACAGACTACTCGGCTTCACAAAACATATGCAACCAACAATGCGTGTAGATGAGTCATTCCTTCACAGATAGACGCTAAGACGATCCTAGTGAGCGAACGTGGAATGACTGCATCCTAAAAACTGCCTAGTATGCAAGATGCCATTTTATAGGTTTTTTTTACGTTTTCTAGGCTTTTTACATAATACCCGTGCCGGTCTCGTCGACGCATGACCGAAGGGGTTTGAAACAACTAAACGTATCACTCTCTCAAATAAATTCTCGCCGGCATGTGAGGGGAATTTGGGGATTACAATATTTATTAGCACTTGTCGAGTGCGTAAAGCGACGTGTGCATCCCTCATCATTTTTGCAATTTTAATGGCATCTCCCGTGGGGCAGGGCTGCGGCTAACCCTCTATCAGCGACACGTAATCAAAACCCGCGTGCACAAGGGATGCCGGGGAGGAACAAATTGCCTTATATTAAATAATTCAGAGGCGTTTTAATTTCCAATGCGTGAAGGATGTCATGACGGGATCCATTCTGGGTCCAGAGGGCATACCATTAAGAACTAGTGAGGAGCTTGTGTTTAAAACCGCCTATATCCATTATTTGGATATTTTGACATTTTCATTGATTTCGTCTGAGTTTAAGGAGCTCTATCGAACGGCACGTTCATTGTGTTCAAAATCGCCTATTTTGTGTGCTTAAATTGCATTCAAAATTGTGGTTTTGCATTAAAACCGCCTATATCTGATTTTGTGATCAAGATCAGCTGATTCAGATCGCCGGTATACAGGGTGTTTCAGTTTATAGTTGCATAACTTTCAGATTCGATAGAAATTTTTGAATTAATGCATAAAGTCTATATAAACATGGGTCTAAAAATGCGTAGCTTCCGAAATACAGGGTGCTTAAATTTACTTTCTAAAATAGTTTTTTTTAAATATGTCGAACAATATTTGATGTATAATAGTGAAAATTGGTGTACAAGTGCTTTTTGGTACGACAAAACGAACCATAGTTTTAATGTAGCCGCTAGAGGGCACTCTGTAGTGCATTAAAATGACCGAAAAATTTTTCTTGGTACAATTTTTTGCTTTTTGAATAAAAAAAACTAATTCTTCGCACTTTTCAACATAAAAAAGCTCTAATGTGAGTGTTCGTGATAGTTAGCCGTTTTTGAGATATTTCTATTTTTAAGGTTCGATTGCATTTTTAATTATTTATGGGAAAATAGTATTTTTTTTTATATTTTCGATTTGGGCATTACAAGTAATTAAGATGATCGTTTAGATTGTGTTTTTAAGCACAGCAATAACTCCTAACTCCAAATAAACACAAAAAACAGAATATTAATTTGTTTAATTTTCCAATATTATTTTTAACAAGTTAAGCTAATTATTTACAACTAAAATGCTATTGGATAGTTAGGACAAACATACAAAATCTAAAGTAGTAGTAGCATTATTCAAATAAGGCCTTATTTCATCACATGCATTCCTGATTCTGTCTATTAGCATATCTCTTGTGGTTACGGGAGTCTGGTACACTTTTTCTTTTAGAAATCCTCACACAAAGAAATCTAATGGATTTAGGTCAGGGGATCGTGGAGGCCAGGCGACTGGTCCTCCATGGTCGATCCATCTTTCTGGATAATTTTCGTCCAGGCAGTTTCTAACTATTCTCGAATAATGAGCTGGACAACCATCAAGCTGGAACCAGGCCAATCTTCTTAAAACTAACATAACATCATCCCACATATTTGCATGTTCAGCCTTTAAAAATTCCAAGAATGTCGCAGCATTTAACCTTGCAGGCAAAAGGTAGGGTCCAAATAGTCGATTACGGTAGATATAGTACCAATCCACACGTTCACACTAAATTCATGCTGAAAATTTCTTTCCCGAACTACATACGGAGTTTCATGCGACCAAATATGTTGATTATGGAAATTTACCACTCCACGTCTAGTGAAGCATGACTCATCGGTCCATAAAACGTTACTTAAAAACTTCCTATTATTATCAGTTCTATCAAGAATCCACTGACAAAATATGATTCTTCGTTCTCCGTCCCCTGGCTGTAGTCTTTGCACAGGTTGCAAATGGTAAGGACGTCTATGGTCATTTCTAAGAACACGGTGAACATGGCTTGCTGAAATTCCCAAGGCACCAGAAACTCTCCTAACACTTGTGGTCGGATCTCTATCAAACTCACGCAGAATCATACGGGTAAATCTGCGCTGACGAACATTTATGTTTTGATCCCTTTGGAGATTTCCAAAACCATTTTCAATTATTTGGCGATGCACTCTTACAAATACTGAGCGAGTTGGATGTCGTCTGTTTGGAAATCTTGCGTATTCTCTGGCTGCTTCTGCTGCGTTTCCATTTACAAAGCCATACACAAAATGTATATCCGCTAAATCTTGATTGGAGAATAAAAATGGCATTTTTATAAAACTTACAAAAAAAAACAGGTAAAAGAAACTAAATTTCGTGCATTCACAATTGCAAAAGACGTTTCAGGTTTCAACAGACAACAAAACTAACTGTCAACTAATTGACGTTTAATCTTATTCTGCTTTCAATTTTAAAAATATTTGCAGGCACAGCCTACTTCTAAAAATTATCGAGATACTGACTTTTTAACGTTATTTTATCATAAATAATTAAAAATGCATCGAACCTTAAAAATCAAAATATCTCAAAAACGGCTAACTATAACGAAAATTCACAAGAGAGCTTTTTTATGTTGAAAAGTGCGAAGAATCAGTTTTTTTCATTCAAAAAGCAAAAAATTGCACTAAGAAAATTTTTTCGGTCATTTTAATACACTACAGGTACAGTAGAGAGCGCCCTCTAGCGGCTACAGTAAAACTATGCCCATGGTTCGTTTTGTCGTGCCAAAAAACCATTGTATACCAATTTTCACTGTTATTATTGTTCGAAATATTTAAAAAAACTATTTTAGAAAGTAAATTTAAACACCCTGTGTTTCGGAAGCCGCGCATTTTTCGACCCATGTTTATATAGACTTTATGCATTAATTTTAAAAGTTCTATCGAATCTTAAAGTTATGCAACAATAAACTGAAACACCCTGTATAAATATATAATTATTGAGGTTAGCTATTAGAATTTAGTTCGCAAAGCAACGAAAATCATGGAGCAGGAACTTGTAGGCATTGAAGAGGGAAATAAACGCACAAGATGCCACAAAACAGGAAGGAAATAGGTCCCCTAATAATATACGTGGAATTTCCGTTACTTTCTCCATTCGTGGGCACAGCTTCAAGTCAGCCAATCGTTGTTTTGGTAGAGTTGAAAAATTACTTAAGAAGAATCCAGAGGTAACTTCTAAAGAACAGTATATTAAAATTTACAGTCAAGTTGGGAAAGTAAAAGTTACAGGAACCGACTGGAAAATAGTTGTTATAAAAGACCTTGAAAGGATATTCACAAAAATTCATGCTATTTTAGAAATGCAATGGATATTTATTAGAAAAACTAGAAAATTGAATGAAAATGAAATAATCTCAATTACAGGGCATTTATATTATGGAGATATGAATGGCAAGGGGAAGAAATTGTTGAAAAAAGGAAAATCCGACCAGAACGTATCGCTTAGCGCGATTCAACCAAGAAACTTGCTTAACAAAAAGAAAAATAGTCTTAAGCATCTCTTGCAAGAACACTTTGGTTCAGAATCGAGAAAGGATTTGGAATGGTATCAGAAACTTCTCGCTTCCACTAAGGATGGCGCTGCATTCGAGGATGAAGAGGCAGAATGCGACTGCCACGATGAGGAACAAGCACTTCGTATTTCAGCTTGTACAATTCAATAAAATATTTATATTTTCTTCAGTTTTCTGATTTTATTCCTCAAATTTCACCTGTTTTGAATCAAAACCACCTATATCCAATTTTTTATTTTTTTTAAGCGAGTAATAAACATAATCATAAAAATATTGTACTAGAAGGAGTCAATACATTAATATACACAGAATAGATATTTTTTGCTTCTAATGAATATTTAGACGAATATATAAGAAGTGTTTCCCTTTTCCTGAACAATTTATAAAAATGGATATAGGCGGTTTTAAACGCAAGCTCCTCAAGTAAGTTTTCATGAGTTGTTCCATGCTTTACGGACCGGCAATCACACGACTTTAACAAGATGCAGTATAGTAATTTACTTTATCTGCGATGAACTTAGCACATTTTTCTCATCTAATTTTGAAGAATCACGGATTAGTTCGACTGGATTTCTTAGTGTGAGTCACTTGTTGTGAACTTGTTTTATAGTACGTGTTGCTTAAACGCCAGCGAACATAGCGAGCAAACGTGGAATGAACCATTTGCGCACTAAACACTATAAAATCTTCACGTTTCGTCGGTTTTTTACGTTTTTTAGGTTAGGTTACATAATACAAGGAATAATTTATTTACGAGAATTACTAGATGTTCAAGAAGGCGTATCCTGTACTGAGGTTTAGGATTTTGCTCAAAAACGGTTCATTTTGGAGACGACAGACAGATTTTTAATGACATTACGTAGGTATATATCGATTTCATTTCCACTCATTGTAATACAGAAAAAATTCGAAAATTAGAAAAGATTATGTTTTTTGGATATTGTAGCCTATACGTCAA